GGGCTTATCCTGAGCGTTCACTGATGATTTGCTAGCTGTCGTGTCAACTGACCTCTTGAAAATAGTTTCTGTATATGACTTTTCGAAGTAAAATGTTGTCTATTCTGTATGCACTTTTCACTCTATATTATTTTTAACACAACGTTTCTTGAAACGTGTTCATAAGCAGTTTGCTCTAGTCTGAATGGGCTATCTTCCATCTCTCTCTCTCTCTCTCTCTATGTTGGTGTTCTGGTCCTGCCTAATCCCCATAATGGGATCCAGACCTAATCCCAGGGATTGCCAGACTTCAGGTAGCTAGAACCCGTGACCTCACTGTCAAGGTCGCACTGAGTTCATTACTTCTCTATTTCCTCTCTCTCTCTCTCTCTCTCTCCTGCCTGGCCTGGGTTAGTCTACCTGTAAGACTAGGAAGCCCTGATGCATGGAAAACTTCATTTCATACCTTGGAAGTAGGCATAAAGTTATACAAGACTTATTTGCCCTTTGGTGTCCGCTAGTGGGTTACTCTTGAATTCGGCGCTGTGCAGTTATGGATGAACATGGACAGTTGAATAATCCATCAGGATTAAACTTGTCCTTCTTCAGTGACCAGTACAAATCAAGATTTGATTTGAAAGAATCTAGGGATGGACTTTCTGGTACTTTCTTCTACTCAAGTACTTGATAAATGAGTTTGTAGTGACTGCCGTAAGTTGTAAGGCTGGATAGTAAGTAAGACTATGGTCTTTGAATGCTGTGGCTCAGTACAAAGTCACATTGACCATCACATTAAACAACTAATTGCTTTAGAAATATGAAATGTCTTCCTTGTTTATGCAACTTTCCTTCAAGTGACCTCTTCTTAAAATACATTTTAAGTGTTGACCCCAATGGCGACCTGATGTCATTTGCTCTGGTGAAATTTTCTCCAGGCTTTACTTCATCACAGATGTAGGGTTAGGGTTAGGATTGCATCTGGGTTATACATGTAGCTTGACTTTGGGGCTAGGGTTAGGGACAGAGTTGAAGCTGGAAAGAAATTTGGTTGATGTAGAGAATTGACCATAAACTGCCCCTCAAGCATATGTTTTAGAACAAAAAATATTCTTCAAATGACCCTCTTATCGGGGAGATGAGAGAGTGAGACTCCTTGCTCTTAATATCAAACCCAAGGTTAGTGTCACCTTTGTCATGTTGCAGGGTCTGGCAAGGTGGCCTTTTGTCAAGCTTACTTTTCAAACTTGATTTTATAAGAGGGGCACAAGAGGCACTGTTCCAGAAAATCTCTCTGGTACCTTGGGTTAACAAATTTACAGCCCCACATCCTCTGAGCTTCCCCTGTGAAAGGCTCATCATGTAGAAAAACCATCTCTTTTAGATTCTTGCCATAGCACTTCAGTAGCCAGCATGTCGAAAAAGAAAACCGCAACTGTATTTGTGGAAGAAATCCTCCAAGACCGGTGCATTATTCCGTCAAGAGGTTTTTTTGTGTGTGTGTGCGAGTTCAATGTCTCGCTGCTGCTCCGGCAATCAAACAACATTTCAAGTCTCGAGAGACAAGACCTGGGCTTAACCATGCCCCAGATACGGTCCTGATTGACAAATATTTGTTGCATCCTAAATCTGGCCCAACTTGGCCTATATATACCACAGCATCTCACACTGTAATCTGTATGTGTACCTCCTTTCCCATCCTATATAGGCTACATGTAGTCTTGACTTTCAGACAAAATTAGTTTTTATCTTTACCAATAGAAAGTGTATCAGGCCATTTATGAGAATGGACACTAAATCCTGACCGAAATTGTTTGATTTGCAAACGTTCAATACTGTAAAAGTTTATACAGTTTTACTAAACCCTGAAACTTCTTGCAATATGAAACACATAACGTTATTAATTTGTAAATGACAATGAATTAGGTCAACAAATTACTTTAAAAAAATGCAGTGCTGTGTCAGTTTTGATGCAATTATTACTTGGCATGGAAATTTCATGATTCTGAAGTCTGAAATTCATTTCACACCTCCCAAACGTTTCGGTTCTACAATATTCTTCATAAATGCAGACTTCACAAAACACACTGTCATTGAGAGAGTGGATAAATAACCAAGTCTGGGAGCCAGGCTACTGGTTTCTTCCATCTGTCCCTCAAAACTGGGTCGAGCTTTGGTACTCGACATCTCAAACTTGAGAGGTAGATCCAGGGATGATTCTTTTCTTCTCCTTGAAGTAGGGATGGGACACACCCCCTGTTTGAAGTAGATTTATATTTTTATACAAATGTTGAATATGATTTGGAAATGAGGATTATGGCGGGGGATGGGAATGGGTTAGTAGGCTTGATATTGGGTCGGAATTAGAATGGATCTGTGCGAAGAGATGTTTTGGATAATGACAGAGAGATAGAAGTTTGTAGAGAATTAAGAGATGACAACAAGGAACGATGCAATGTAGTGGGAGAAAGTAAGATAGTAAGAAAGCAAGATGGACTAAAATTCATAATTTATGGCAGAAATTGGAGTATTTGTCCATCTTTCTTTTAAAACTAGGTCGAGCATGCATGGTGTACACTTTTTCAACATGTCAAACTTGAGAAGTAGATCTGTGATGATTCTTTTTTTCTCCTTGAAGTGGGCACAAAGCACGCCTCCTTGTTTGAAGTATATTTTGATTTTTATACAAATCGTCCTTGTTTTCACGAAGTGACGGTAGTGAGGAAAATCGTAACGCAAAGTGAATGCAATTTTTTTTCACTACCGTCACTTCGTGAAAACAGCGACGAAATGTTGTGTATGATTTGGGAATGAGAATTATGAAGAGGTATAAGTGAGTGCGGTTATTAGGCGTTATATTGGGCCGGAATTAGAATGGATCTGTGCAAGAAGATGTTGGGATAATGACGGAAAGAGAAACCATGTGGATTTTGCGGAGAATTTAGAAAGGAATGAAACATAGCACGAGGAAAGAGTGAGAGTTAAAGAGTTAAAAGCATGATGGTGGGTCATTAATCAAAAGCAGAGAAATATTTATGATTACAAGGGAGGATGGTGTAAAAACTGAAGAGAAATAGAAAAGAGTGTAATTAAAAACATTTCCCACTATCACATATCCAATTAATGAGGTATGCGAGCGAAATATAGGTGATATATATTGTTTGATCAATATTTTTAAATGCTTATCAAATGAATAAAAATTGTTTGTACCCAAAAAGTAGGGCCCTGTTTCATAAAACTTCAAATCAATAGCAAACGCTAAATTTCTTTGACAAATTTGCTCTCAGCCAATCAAACGCAAGGATTTCAGTAGCTTATAACAGTTACTGTAACTTGTTATTGACAACAAGTTTGGTGAAACAGGGTCCCGATGGATGGAGGGATGGTGTGTAAGATAGAATTAGATCAATGATAATGACAGAACGACCCTGAATCTCGATCTGTTTCTCATTGATGGACTTGCACCCCCGAATCAGTCTGGCGTGTCTTCACTATCTCGAGATTGCCAAATATCCAGCTATTTGAACTATCCCGATCGCAAACTATCCAGCGAATTTGCGTCTTCATCAGACCCAAGTAGCAATTAGCAGGATATTTGGTCGGGATTGTCATCCCAAGATATCTTGGGATAGTTTGCAAAATATCCCACTATTTGGCAAAATATCCAGCTATTTGTCCTGTGCATCTTCACCAGACCGAAGACTCGCACTATGCGCTAATGCTGAGCAAAATATCTCGAGCTAATTTCTCAAGGTCGAATCTCAAGCTGATAAAGACGTGATTTGTATCTTCGGGATTATTTCCCAAATCAGAAATAGCGGGCTATTTGGCACTCTCAAGCTGATGAAGACAGGCCTATTGATGGACTGCACCCCCGAATCAGTCTGGCGTGTCACTCGGGTTATCGCAGGCCTTGATTGGCTGCGACAGATGGAGGTGGGTCGTCAGCGGGCATGTCAGCATCATTCACAGAATCCATCCTGAATTTTACTTGAATTGTCCGGTTGATGATGCAGGAACTTGCTCAATCCATCTCGTTTTGGCCTCGGGAATGCAGGCATGACTGATAATGAGCGATGATTATGAAATAGAACATGAAGTTTAGTAACAGAAGGTCATTAATATGTTTAGCTACCTTGTGATACTAAAAAATGAATAATGATGGCAAAGAGGCAGTTAGTGACGTTTTGACACTAAAAGAATTGTGACTTTCTGATAGTGACTCAATTTCTTTAATAGTTTGGGTATGGTAAGGGTTGTGTGACTGATAAGTGATGATTATGAGATGAAACATGAACTTGAGTAGCAGAAGGGTTTTAAGACCTGTAACTGCCGTTCAATACTAATAGTTTTATAGTAATATGAAATGGGATATGAACTTTGTAACAGAATGTTCTTGCTATGAATAGAGCAACCTTTTACTACTGAAATAAGGGGCATTCTGAAGCTGAGTGAAGGCAAAAAGTCACTGTCAGGACGTCACCAGATACTTACACAATCCCTCTCATTTGGCTTTGGCCTTTGGGAATGGTTGAGTGATTATTGAGAGGTGAATATAAATTGGAACTTAGTGGCAGAAGGTTTTAAGACATATAATAACCTTTTGATACCTAAAGAGGCATTCTGAAGGTGAATGGTAATTTTCTGACACTTACTAATTACTATATATCTCATTTGTTTGACCTCAGGAATGCTTGAGTGATGAATGAGCTACAAATATAGAATGGATTAATGTGTGTTACTATTACTATTAGTCATTACTATTATTGGTTTGAAAATTCTTATATCACATCCAAAGTTAAGAATTACCTGTAACAGTTTTAATGTCTATGGTTAACCCATCTCCCTCAGACACAAATTGGCAGACTAAAGTAAGCTGCCAATTTTTCTGATCACCAGTAGTTGTTGTTTTGGCGATTTAATGCGTCGTATATGTGAGACAGCTATGTTCATTACTATAATTGTTTCATTATCGTTATTGTTATTAAATCATGACATGTTTTATTTCTGTTTGTTTGTTATAGATGGTGCTTGAATCTACCACAGCAGGCAGGAGAAAGCACATGGGTACCCTGCTAAATGCTTGTCCTTCAACACTGGTAAGAAAAAGAAAAACCTTATATTGATATTAAATCATCTGGGGGTGTTTCACAAAGATCCTAGGTTGAATCTTCTCTAAGTTGGACTTAAAAATGATAGAAATGATAGCAGAAACAGGGACCATGTGCTGTATTCCAGCACCACCTTTTCATTGATTGAGTAATTGAGTATAGGGAAATATGAAGGACTAAATATTTGAGATGTTCAAGAGGGGATAGTGGAAACAGAGACCCGATGCACTGCTTTTTAGCACCTTCTCTCGCGTTTCAGAAGATGATGATGATCGGCTAGAATGAAATGTGCCCAAATTAGAGTATTATCGCTTGAACACCTGGGATAACCCCTTCACTCAATTCTTGATCAGGTGTATTAGAGGTCCGTCCCAAGTCTTGCTGTATTCTACCCTGTCGCTAACTTCACTTCTGTCCCCTGTCTTTTCCCACTAGCTGCTGTCTGTCGTTTCTTTCCCCTTCTCTCGCTTTCTTTCTCTGTCTTCTCCATCTCTCTCTCTTTCTCTGTCTTCTCCATCTCTCTCTCTCTCTCTCTCTTTCTCTTTCCCTTCTTCCCTCTCTTTCCCTTTCTCCCTCTGTTCATGGACCTACTATGTTCATACTCTCCCTCTCTGGCTCTCTCTCTCTCTCTCTCGCTCTCTCTCTCTTTCTCATCTCTCCTCCCCCATCTGTCTGTCTGTCTCTCTCTATGTGTCTGTCTCTTGTCTCTTCTCCTCACTCATCTGTCTCTCTTTCATTTTCTCTGTCTGGCTTTGTTTATCTGCTTCTCTCTTTCACTCTCCATTTCTCTCAAAACCTCTCTTCGACCTCTATCTCTCTTTGCTTCTCCATCTCTGTCCATACTCATCCTTCTCTCCCTCTATCCTGTTCTTCTCTCGCCCTTTCCCTCACCCTCCCCTCCCCTTTCTCACCCTCCCCTCCCCTTTCTCTCCATCCCCTCCCCTTTCTCACCCTCCCCTCCCCTTTCTCACCCTCCCCTCCCTTTCTCACCCTCCCCTCCCCTTTCTCACCCTCCCCTCCCCTTTCTCTCCATCCCCTCCCCTTTCTCACCCTCCCCTCCCCTTTCTCACCCTCCCCTCCCCTTTCTCACCCCTCCCCTCCCCTTTCTCACCCTCCCCTCCCCTTTCTCACCCTCCCCTCCCCTTTCTCTCCATCCCCTCCCCTTTCTCACCCTCCCCTCCCCTTTCTCACCCTCCCCTCCCCTTTCTCACCCTCCCCTCCCCTTTCTCTCCATCCCCTCCCCTTTCTCACCCTCCCCTCCCCTTTCTCTCCCTCCCCCTCTCTCTCTCCCCTTCCCCCTCTCTCCCCCTTCCCCCCTCTCTCCCTCTCCCCTCTCCCCCTCGCCCTCTCCCTCCCTATCTCTATCTCTCTCTCTCTTCACATGTTGTCCTGCTCTATCCTTCCATAGACATCTGTATCCCTTTCTTTGTCCCTCTATTCTTCTTTACAATTCTGTGTCATTTGTCAATTTCTTTTTTCGATTAATGTGTCCCCTCTCATGGCTCTCTTTATTGACTTTACTTCGAATGTCTATTCATGATTCAATGTCACTAGAGAATAGGCTTTGTTATCTTTGGTTATGTTTCGTTCTTTCAGAGTGATGTCCCTTTTCTCTTCTCCCCTTAATCTCGCTAGTCTTAATATTGTAATGTAAACTATGTTCTCGGAGTCATCACTACACCATTCCCCCTCTCTCTTTTCTTCCTTCTTTTTTTTCATTCTTTCTCTCTCTTCTCTCTCCATGTACTCTCACTATCTCTTCTTTACTCTGTCTCTCCTTCTCTCCCCCTGTACTCTCACTATTTCTACTTTACTCTCTCTCCTCCATCTCTCTTTCCCCATTCTCTTGAACCTTTTATCTATATGTTCCCCCTCCTCTCAGTCTCTCCTCTTTCTCTTTCTCTTTCACTCACTCTCCTTTTCTCCCTCTTTCCCCTCATCTCCTTCCCCTTGTCACTTCTTTCCCTCATCTTTTACCTTTTCTTTTCCCTTCTCCTCTCCCTTCTCTCTCTCTTCTCTTTCTCTTTCACTCACTCTCCGTCTCTCCCTCATATCCCTTCCCTTCTCCTCTCCTCTGTCTCTCTTCTCCTAATCACATCAGTCTACAGCAATCATCCCATCCCAGGTATTGTCTTTCAGCCCAATCCAGTCTGATCCCAAGCTTAGTCCATTCATGGTTTCCTGACATAAGACCCACCAACACAAAGACCCAAGACCATGCCTTAGCACACTGGAAGTAGAGCAGAACAGAAACGGGAGGCTCTGAGAAGGATTATGTTTGGGGGGAATGTGACTGTCTGGGGATTAAAACAAAATGACAGTTAGATTAAATAAGAATATAACTGTCCCACTCCCAGGCCCTTGGTGGAGCCCCTGTTCGAGCAACTACAGAAGTTGGAGCCCATGTTTCAAGCCACTGCAGAAGTGAGCAAAACCAGCTTATATTATAAGATATATCTGGGGATTAAAAATGACGATTAGATTTTAGGAATATAACAATCCCACTTCGAAGCCATCTTTAGAGAAGGGAAGGGGGGGGGGGGGGGGGGGGGGGGGGGGGGGGTTTGTTGTGTAGACGGAGCAAAACCAAGTTCAGACTTTGAATGATTATGTACTAGTAGGTAATGTTTGAGAGAGAGAGGGAGAGAGAGAGAGAGAGAGAGAGAGAGAGAGAGAGAGAGAGAGAGTGAGAGAGGAGTGGTGGGTTCATGTTTTCAAATTTTCCAATAATCATGACAGTCATCCTCTATGTGCACGGTGAGGAAGAATAATGACTTTATAAGGATTATGTGGGATATGATTGGGGATTATTCCATATGTTGTCAGGGCTAGATATGAATTCAGTGGGCACTGCAATGGCAGCAGAATGCCTACAAGTACAAACCAAAATCAGACGCCAATGGATTATGTGGTACTGGTAGGAAGTATCCGGGGGTTCTAAAAAAATGTCTGCAACTAACTGTTCCAACAATTTGCCCCTAGCTTGGGGTAGAGAGCAAAATGGGGGAGGGGGCACTATGTGCATGATGGAAGGAGGATAAGAAGTTGATTTGGAATTCTTTCAATAGATAGTGCAAGCTTTGAATATGAGGTATGGAATTTATGGGGAATAAAGAAAATATGGAATATTTCATTAAAAGTATTCTAGGCTGTTGATATAGAGGGATTTGGGGCGGGGCAGGGGAAAGGGAGGAAGTGGACCCAATGGGCATGACAGTAAGCCCTTTTTTAATGAAAAGGAAGAATAATGAGTAAATTTATAAGGATTATGTTGATCCGATCTGATTAGATTGATACATAGTCAGGGTTAGCATCCAATTGAGGTGCAGATAGAACCTATAATCGCATTATAATGTGAAAGGTAGGAAATGCCAACGGGTATGTTGTTCACATTGTAAAGGCCCTACTTCAGCAATGTATAAGGCCCTACTTGGGTAATGTATAATTAATTTTAAAAAAAATATTTACAAATAAGTGTTTTTTTTAGCAATTGTATATAAATTTAAATAATCCCTAAATATTCTTAATCAGCTTCTGCAATGTGCTATGCCCTTAGAGTGTGTAATTTGTGATGTTCCTTTGTGAATTTCATAGGTCTTATATACACCTTAGCAATTTTCTTCATAGATTCTTGATTCCTAAGATAATGCTCCACACTGTCTTTTTGTGAAGGGGTCAGGAATGAACTGTCTAGAGTATGTGTGCACATGCTCTTCCTTAAAGATTTGAAAGTTTGGGTCCAGCCATAGATTTTGGGCACATATATGTGTCCTGGGCGCCTGTTAGTGTCCAGCCCTACTCAAGAGCTTGAAGGGCATAAATAATTGTGTGGAAATCTATTAGCAATTATGGGGTCTTTGCAGACAATACACACAGACATATTTCAGAGGTAGAATAATACTTAAAATGTCTCAGGATATTATTCCCAATAGGTAGACTATTGGCAAAACAATTTGAGTGTATACTACCACCTCAAAATGTTTGAATCGTTAGCTTAGAGACGGGAGGGTGTTTTCATCATACAATGAAGTAAGTAAATCGCTTTCTGGCTCTCAACAGAAGATATATAGAGTGTTGCATTCTTAGTAAAACTTCTCTTTCTATATGTCCAATCACTCAAACAGGTACCGGTACATGAGTTGAGGTGCTAAGAATTTCATTGACGTCTGTACCCATTAACAGACCCTCACCTAACCTTTAAAATACCCCTTATTTGCTCTGTAAACCAACGCCAATTAGCACTCTTGTGTGTGTACACACCAGGAGTTTACAAGTTCATATTTGCCATGCTGGAATATTTTTTCTTCTTCTGGAATTCAGTTTTCAAAGTTATAGGGAGTCATTTCAAGGGGTGCATATTTAGTGTTATGTGAAACATTAGGCTGTGTCAATGAGGCAAGTTGTTTCTGTCAAAATTGTCTGATTTTGATATGAATTCCTCTGAGGGATCAAATGAAATGCACGAACAAGACTCTAAAGCATTTTTGAATGTTGGGTACAATGTTTTCATCAGCCTGTGAGTTATTGATTATAAAACAGAAAAAAAGGAATACTCAAAAACAGGAGAGTAAATCAAACCATTTAATTATGTATATAATTTAAAAACAAATGCTTTCAGGAAATATGCTTATATAAGTTATATTACTGTACATAATGGCATAGAAATGTTGAATTATCATTTGATATTCAAGCAATTGCTAAAGTACACAGAATCGCTTGAGCACTAGCACTAGGGAAGGAATACCTAGCACAAGATTATTGTACCTGGATGTAACTGTTCTCTTCATTTCTTGGTCAATTTAGAAAGATTTGTAGTCGAGTTGTGTCCGACGGAAGCAGAAATATGTCTCTGCTCCTCAGCGAAGGGCTACCAAATATTTGAGAACAGCTCCACATGAATTCCGTTGGTATTTACAGACAGAAATGCCATATTTGCAGACCCAGATGAATTTCTGTAATGTGAGTGGGTGGACAGGTAGAAAATACAGTATTGGGGCATATTTTGAAGATGTTT